GACCAAATATGACCCTGTTGGGGAATCCCCAACAACGACGTGCCCTGGGGAAAGATCAGTAAAAGTTTAGGCAGAATCAACGAAAACTGGCCATTAACCTCGACCTTTGCGCCAGTTCCACCTCTAATATGACCCCGCCTAACATAAAAAACATTTTCACGTACCTCCTCACGCCCATTTGCCACCAAATTCCTAAAAAAAGACGATTCATTGCCAGTGAGGAAGGCATAATTGTCAAGTAGTGCCCATACGTGAGCGTGGACTATGTCTCTAATGATATGTGAAAAAAAGATGGGAATTTGAAATATTGCTTTCAGAGGGCAAGCGTTGAATGATGTGATTATACCACTGAAGTTCGAGAATTGCAAGGCTACGTCTGCCCTTGCAGAAATCAACAGCTGCGGACTATTTTTAAAAGAAGAGTAAGAGAGATAGTAGAAGTTCCAGCAAAAGACCCGCTCGAATGAAATACTTCAAGTATCAAGAAGGGAACGACATTTCAAATGCTTGGCCAAGACAAATGTCTGTTTCCTAAGGAAAACTGCCTGCACGAAATCGATTACCAAAAAACGTATGGTTTGCACTTGCTTTCCGATGAAAGCTGCTTCCCATAGTGGATATTTCGAAAGCACATTGACCAGACAAAATTCTTAGCATTCCATCCAAAAGCGCAGCTTCTTAGCCGCCCTCAACTAGTTGCCAGCACCAGAAAAATGGAAAACGACAGCGCTACACAAATGCCTTCTATATTTGAGCCCTTTTTGGACTTTCCATATACTCAAAACTAGTTTGCACCTTCCTAGGCCTTTGAAAGTCAACTCCGACGTCCCATAATGTGAGTCGTTTAGTGGAATGGTTTGCCAGTCTATTTGTATGAGAGAAGTTTTTCATGGAACGTGCAAGTCCAACAGGCACATATCAGGTCCAGTCCGGAAGATGGGCGCGGTTCGGCGACGGGAGGGGCATTTTGCACATTCCCTGTTTCCCCTGTGTCGAGTTCATTGCTTTGCAAAACTTTGCAGGCATTCTTTACAAGAGTTGAGGAGTAGTCTCCACAAACTTTGACTGGTACCACTTCACGACTTCACAAGATTTCTCAGGTCCCCACTTGACCGCTCGAAACGACAATGGGAAACAGAAAATGTGAAAAATGACCCCCCCCCCTTGCCGAATTGCGCCGGGACATTTTCAAATTTCACAAGTCAATAACGACTAAATGAGTCAATTGTGCCCACAACTGCAGGAATAGAGATGAATTAAAGACTTCCTTCACCAAGCAAGAATACTGTAGCTCCTAACGAGGCTGCTGGCTCAGCCATGAGCTGTTGAACATGGAATTTTGGCCCCAACGTGGTCTATTATTGAACTCTACCAACCACAGATCAGGATCAAACACATGGACGCCCTTTAAACCCTTTCTGACATCCTCATTACTGAATGTTCGCAACATTCCGGCGTTTAGTTGACATTGGTTTCAAGGCCATTCACCTCAACCACTTTTTATTTTCATGCAGACGGACCACTTCAACCGGAGGCCGAAACACGAGTCTGTCAAAAGCAAAAAAAGTGACAGCCTTCAGTAGCGATCCAGCTCCAGTCCGCCTCCATAGCACGACCACTCGACGGCATATAAACATCAATAAAAAAAACCCCTCGCCCATAACACATGAGTTTCAAAACGGCACGTTAAACTCTGTTTCCCACAAAAACACCGAAACACGTCCCTTGGCACTACTGCCCAAACAAGAACAGCATATTAAACAAAGAAGATGAGGGTCTAGGCTTTGACAGCTGAAGAGCTCTAAAAAGTGTCCAAACCGCCAGAGAGCTCTAAATGTTCCTATATCGCTCATAAAAGAAGAATCTTATTGAACGCAGCGTGCTGTGACTGGAACTCATATCCTTCCAAGCTTTACTGGTTCTTGAGAGAGTATTTGCTTCTTGTAAAACCAGTTCACTCACTGCAGCAGGTTTTCGGGGACTTCTGAACAGCTAACAAGCTTGCCCTAATTTGCACGAATGTTTGTAGAAACGATTGAAAACAGCAAAAACGTTTACCACTGGTTAACAGCCACAACACAATCCACAGCGATGGAGGGGGGGGGCGTATTTGGTCGCTGAAAGGAGGGGAGGGGGTGGTCGGTTGTATTGAATTTTGAGAAAATGTTGTTGACTTTTCTCGGTTTTTCCCATTTCACTGGCAACCTATACCTTCATCCCTTTTGCTCGACGGTATTTGGAGGAAGACTGGAACTGGAAAATTCTTCCGGTAAAAGTGGTAGACAGGTGGGAAGAATTTAGGGAGATGGTAGGCAGGATGGGGCACGGGGAGGGGGCAGGGAAGAGTCGTACCAGAGAGAAAATTTGGACGGAGGTCGTACCTCTGCATAAATTCTGCCCAACGCGCTTGCAGGACGTGCTCCCTCGACCATACCCGCCACCTTCCAGAACAGGAACCGCCGAATCGTGTTGGCACGAGCGGAAAGCTCAAAATAACCGGTGAAGGTGATAAGCTTGAGATAGTCCTCATCTCGTCTTGACCCCTCCTCTCTGGAGACCCCCAGGCCAGTGGGTCAAAGAATAAAAAAATTTTCCGCTGATGATCAATCCGCTCTGAGATGTGCCACGCGCCCAACTTCCGTTTAGAATAATTCTGGCTTTTGAATGCGATTGAGCCTATGCAATGATTTGAGCCGCCAATGATTTGAGCCGCTCACAACGAGTTACTTGATACTTGGTACTTGATTAGAAGTCAGTGTTCGCAGCCTTTCGGATGAATGTGGTACCGATTGACCAACCCCGAAAGATCGAAGATTACTTCCTCAAAACGAGAGGCACTCAAGATCTCACCCCACGAAACGCGCGCTTATTCAGCGGCGCCACTTGCTATAACACCACCGCCCTGGACGAGTAAAATCCGCTAGTCTTGTTCGCTGCAGACGCAGGGGCGTGTCAGGAGGCCGGGCTCGGGGCGGTGCTAGCCGTTTTCTACCAATTGGTCTCGCTTCCTCGCTTCAACAACTGGTGGAGAACGGGTTGGCACCATGCCAAACCCCGACTTCCTGACATGCCTAGTATCTGCTGCAAGTAAGCCTATAAGTGCCCGGAGAGGTCTGCAATGATGCGCTGTCTCCTGGTAACCTGTACAGGACCCTGCGCATTCAAAGGGTGAGACCACAATTATCTACAAATGATATGTGGCCCCGTCCTAGTGCTTCCTTTGATTCTGAAATTTGCAATCTAAGCTAATCTCCAAGCTAATCTAGAGCTGGCACAAAATTGCAGACAACCCCTAGAGAGGAATCAAACCTCACTTCACCCTGGCAACTA